CCAGGTTGGACATATGACTGTGATGCTTGATTTTAATTCAGAGTAAGCTTGCCCTGTTGTGTGACAACACAATCAATCAGTAGCTAATAAATGCTATTGGTAGCAGACGCACTAACTGAAAAATCAGGGCATCGGACCAGGCAAAGGTATAAATCTTTGGACTCCAATGTGACCAGACACAGCTGATATCTATGAAAATTTCTCCATGCTCTAATATTAAGTGTCTTCTTTGAACCTAGTTTTCTTGCCAACCCGGATAGCTTCATTTCACATCTAGTTCTTGAACTCAACACATCTTGCTCTGATGACCTAGAATCTGAACTTAGCATTGATTTTTGAGTTTTTCTATTTATGTCCAAAGGATATCCACCTCCTGTAATCCCCACTTTTATGGTCAACCTGGGGTATTAGCCAGCTAGTGTTGGAGGTTGAGAATAAAGGCTTGTGGATTTGGAGCTGGATTGTAAGGCCTTACCTGCGTCTGCCAGGAGTTGAAGATCCAAGGTGTGAATTTAAGCCAAAATCCTTAGAATGTATATAAGGCTAAATCAAGACGAGGCACCAACTCTAAAGGATAAGTGCTAGGCCTAAAACAGGGGACAGAGCCAAGAGGCAGAAGCATAACCAGAAAGAAATTAAGTGGTCAAGGTCAATGTTAAACTGATTATAGAGATTTGGACATTTTTTTTCTGCAAAAGTAGGGTGGCATTATGACCATTTACCCAAGTGGAAATGCTGGTTTGAAGTTCATAGATGAGGGAGTGCCACATTACCATGTGGCCTGAGATGCCTGCAGTGCTTGAGGGCGCATAAAACAAGGGCCATCATGTATGTGATAGAAATATTTAAGGGTGTTCCTCACAGAGAAAGCTGACCCAGTTGGGTTCCTGCCATTTCTTTTTTTATGTAGATTTCTGCTGGTCTCACATAGGGTTCCAACATTTCTGCTGGCACACGGGTGGGCCAAACCCCTCACCCTAGCTAGAGAGTGTGTGACATTTTATTTAGAATGGGTGTGATAGGCTTGGGTTTATTATTTAGCAACTATTCACAACCCTTCCCCTCCCACTATGAGCAAAACACTTCTCCTGGTCCATTGATGTTGGGCTTGGCCCTGTGACTTATTTTGGCCAATGGAACATCACTAAACATGATGAAAACGAAACTGAGTCTTAAAATTACTTTCTTGGTTTGGCTTGGATCTTGCATTCAGGTGATCCTTTATGGGAAATGTGTTTTGCTTAGCCTCTGCGCCTTCATTTCAGCCTGGGTCCCTGAACAATCGCAAACACTGCAGACCTGCATAAATCTATGCCCCAGATTCAAACCCATCCAAATGCAACCCGAAGCACAAATGAATGCAGCCTCCATCAGCTGGACAGCAGTCAACACACAGATCTTTGGACACGAGAATAAGTGAGAATCACTGGGTTTTGAGCAATTTGTTACAAAGCATTATTATGGCAGTGTTGACTAAGACAGTGGGCTTAGCAGGATCTTATGCAAATTGTTTTTGAGGATATATACATTGAATTGGCACCTGCTTTGATAGAAATTTCCCCTATCCAGAGTGTTGCCCTGGACACCTGTTAGATTGGGAAGGAAGGAGTGATAGCATGGAAAAAATATAAAGAAACACAAAGGATAATGATCCTCCTTTTGAGATGTGTCAACATGTACACATTCAAACTTCAGTCTTTGGGGTATTCCCTTCAAGTTTTTGCCATATGCAAGTACCAAGCCAACTATTATGTGTTTAATATATTTTTAAAAATTAATTTTTTTATTTTTAGTTTCAGGTGTACACAACAATGCAATAGTTATCCTTTTCACCCTTCACACAGAAACAACCCTCCTCCCCCATATGTGTTTAATATTTTTTGATGGGCTTACTAATTTAATTAAACAGAGATTATGTATTCTTTTTTCTAATTTATATCTATAAAAGAAAAAGTATACATGGTAATAAAAATATTGAAAGCAGTCCTTTTATTTGTTACTTAATTTATTTTTTCAAAAAACATAAATTCTGGGCCGGCTGAGTGGCGCGATGGTTAAGAACGGGCTTGGGATGCCAGAGGGCCCCGGTTCGGATCCCACATATGAGGGCCAGTGACACTGCCCTCTACAGCTAAGATGCTGAACAACAGCTCAACCTGGAGCTGGGCTGCCATGAGTCGCCGGCGACGGTGTAGGCTGCAGCCCCTGTGGCAGTGGGTTGCCATGGGCTACCGTGTGTAGCCAGCAGCTGCCGTGAGCGGCCGTCCAGAAGCCGGTGACTGATCTGCCTCGCCTGGGAAGAGTGCAATGATGGTGCCAACTTGGGCCAGTGAAGCAACGTCCTCCACAACTAGACTGAAGAACAAAAGGACAGCAACTTGTTTGTTCCCTTTCCCCCAATTCCCCAGCGCTGTTCCCATCCCCCAATTCCCCAATAAAAATCTTAAAAACAAAAACAAAATAAAAAACAAAAACCATAAATTTTTCTTTCCCAAAGGTGATTTCCAACTCTTAATATGGCCTCCTTTGAATAAGCAATGAGAATGTCCCCAAACTTGCCCTACTGATCTGTTTCTCCCTCCGCTTGTCAGACTCCCCAGTGTTGCCTGGGACACCAAGACTTACCTCTGGTTCAATCAGCATGGGGCTTATTGAGCCTTAGGAGGTAGCGTCTTAGCTGTTACCACTGAAATCAAGTGATCTTAGAAGTGAATTTACAGTGATATATGTACCTGAGAGTGCCACAACACGTAGATAAATGTCCCATCCTTGATTGTGCTACCTTAACCGCTGTAGTTGGTAACTGATTATGGATAGACAACGACGGTGAAATGGGATATGCTTGAGTTTGGAGAATAACAGCGACCAGGGCAGTCACATAACATGGCCAAGCAGTGAAGGCTACTTTACAGAGTTTAGATAAAGGAAGATTCTGAGGAGGAAGAGACTTCCAAAACCAGAATCTTAATGACTGAAAGGCTCAATGGTTAAGGCTTTGGTTTGATTCCCAGCTCTGATCATTGTTGACTTTGACTTTGGGCAAGTCTATTGTACTTCTGTGTTTTCTCATCTGTAAAATGGGGGAAATACTAGCTCTTAGAATTACTGCAAAGATTGAATGGAGATACAAGTATATCCTTGGGAGTGCCAAAAAACTGTATACAAGTGGACACTTTAGTCAGCGTTGCTCAAGCAGTAGTTTGCCATAATCAGAAGTGTCTGGATGCTGATGGGAACCACTTTGAGCACCTCTTGTAATCGCAGAAGTCAGACGTGACTTCTATTCATCTTTTGTTATCGGTATATACTGAGTATTACAATTTTAATAGTTTTCCTTTCTTAAAATGTGTATGCATTTTTTTTGGCATCCTTTGTATATAAGCAAAACATTTATCATAGTCCCTGGCTTATTGTAAAAAGAAGGCACTATTGTTATTATGATTATTTTGATATTGTGGTTTCAAACAAAAATCCTGGAATTAGAATAACCTGGAAAGAACAATTAAAACAACGAGGAGACACGTGTCTACAAAAATAAATGTGTGCCTGCTGCACACGTTTGGTTGTTAACTGGAGCTCTCTTTGCTGAATGATGGCTGTTGCACTGGAGGTGATGGTATGACTGGGCATGGCTGTGGTGGTGATGACTCACTGCAGAGTAGGACGTGGGAGATAAGGTGAGTTAGGTTTCTGAGGCAGCTCCCGGAACAGAGGTTCCTTTGCCTTCGGGAGGCAGCAGGGAAGGGAGGGGTGGCCTGGCAGCCATGCTGCCGTAGCTCCATGGCTGGCTCAGCTTTTCCAGTAGGGAGAGAACCTCAGCTGAGGGCACAGTGGCTGCAAAGGGCTAATGTCACACGGCACACAGCACAGTGCCTCACCTTGCTCCTATCTAATCAGAATTGTCCCTGTTATTATTTTCCTAGAGACACATCAGCCCAGAGGATCTGATTGGTAGGAGAGGAGTGGGGAAGGGATGAGGTGTGAAGGAAGCTGGAAGTTCATGGGTAGAGTATTGGACTTTCTGGAAGAGCCCCAAAACCTCTAAAATCTTGAATCATTTTGCTCTCAAGATGATCCTTGTTCCAACCCTTAACCAAAATTCCACTTTTCCTATCACTGGCATCACTGTTCTCCTGGTCACCCAGAAATAAAGCCTAAAGCTCACGTGTGACTCTGTTATACCGACCTTCTAATTCCGTCAGTTTCCTTGACTTGATTTTCTTACACAAAAAATTTTCTTTCCAAGTGTTTCCTTCCTCTCTGCTCTCACCCTGGGCCAAGTCCTCACTTCATTCCTGAACCCACTAGCTACTGGGTCTCTTGTCTGTTATCTAATCAATCCAGATCCCCAGTACCACAGCAGCCTTTTGTAGATATTATTTTCATCATGTCAAAACCTTCCTCAAAAGCCGTCAATCCTTCCTTCTCTAACATGTGAAGTCTGGACTTTTCTTCATGACTTTTCTTCATCGTCTGTAATATGGCCCCCGGTGATATAGTACCTTTATTCTACTTTTCCAGCCATCAAGCCATTCTTCCTCCTGTCCCAACACAAGCACCATAACCCGGTACTGATGTGGCTCAGGAAATGTTGCCCAGGCACATCATCCTAATAAATCCCATTTTGCCTGGAATGGGAAACAAGACACAGAGGTGAAATGCCTCCTCTCAGAGACGTGCTCACCGAGACCCCAGGTGAGGGCTCAGTATGATTTGGGAAAGGGAAAGGAATTTTCTGGCTTGGCACACACTTCATTCCTCCTTATATTTATGAGGCATCTTAGGTGGGTGCGACGGAAAAAGGGACAGCATCCCTGCCACTAAAGAGTCTGCAAGCAATAGGGAGGTGACAGTGCAGGCCCCTGTGTAAGAGAATGCGGAGCACAGGAAGGAGAGGCTCAGGGACGCCCCGCCCCCCGTCCTCTGGAGAAGGCAGGAGACCCTGTGAGGTAGGCAGAGGCAAATACTGTCCACGTTGTCATGATGACAGAACTTGCTCGCCTGCCCGAGGGTGCAAGTGGCTTGTTTATTACCACAGAGCGAATAATGAGCAGGCTAGGGTCTCTTAGTTTGGTGGTCTTTTTCCTGCACTGTTCTACCTGCACCTCGAGAAGCTATCAAGCATGCTTTGGAGCAGGGCAAATGGGCACGGAACTGTGAGAAATCCCGGTGAAGGTGGCATTTGACCCAAGAACCCAAGAATCCAAGAGATTTCAATCATAGGAGAAAGGAGAGAAGACAGAATACCTCAAAAGTCAAGTAATTCCGTCAGCAAAGACATGGAGCCACCCAAGGGCAAGATTGCTTGGGGAGCAAAGACGTCCCCCTTTGCCTCCTCTGAGAAGTTGAGATAAAGGAGGAGAGGCCTGGGTGTCCTCTGACTGATAAACAGGCTCCACCCAGAGGCCAATAGCGTGTGCATGGGGACAGGAAGTTCAAGTGGCAGAAGTTCCCCTTTTCCAGGAGGAAGGAACGGGCTGGGGTTGGAGGAAGTCCGTTTCCTGAATCCTTGTTCTCAGAATAGGTGCCTCTGGACCAGAACCTGGAAGGATTGCGGGAGCCAGAGAGAGGGACAGACCGACAGACGGACAGACCCACAGACGGCAAGTCCCTTGGAGAAAACCATTTCTTTTTTGGAGTCAGATGTCTGGGGTGGCGAGTGAGGGGTGGCTGCTGTGTGAGAATGCCCTGCCACCCCCACTAGAGACGAGGCTGTGAGAGGCTTGGAGAGTAGAAATGAGAATGACAGGGAGGTGACGGGAGAGCGGGGAAGTCGTGGTACATCCAGGGGCCAGGTTCGTTCTGAAGGTCTCTGGGAACCCCGCCTTGGGATGAAAATAGGTGTGTGTGGAGAGGGTGGGCAGGCGGAGGTGTCAAAATGACCTGATATGACTCTTTCCTGCACCCCTTCCTGAACCAGCTTCTCTCTCCTCCGTCCTGCTCGCTCGGTTCAGGAGGGCGGAGACAGTCGTGAGGAGAGTCACGGGGGGACAGACCGCGCTGGGCCGGGGGAATGGGGACTCTCTGGAGCCAGGAGGTGAGTACGTCCTTGGCCTGCCCTGGGCAGGACCCCCCCCCCCCCCCTGCTTGGTCCTTCCCAGGACAGGCAGCACCCCTTGTCTGCACAGGGGTCCAATCAGGGCTGGGTGTCGAGAGAATGGTCTCTGTACAAGGGGGCCCTAGCACTAACTTCCTTCTTCTCTTTCCTGCCTTCTCCCCAATCCCCTCCAGCTTGTGTCTCTCACCTCCTGGTTCCCTGCTACACAGAGACCCCCAGAAGAGGGGCAGCCCACCGAACAGAACAGATGGCGGGCCATGGCCAGGAGGCTGCTAACCACTGTCCTGCTTTTAGGCCTGTTCCTTGGTTCTTCTGTGCTTCTGTTCTACCTCTTCCAGGGCTGTACACCTTGTAAGCAGGATCTTGGAACCCAGTCAGCCCTCCCTCAGTCACGGGCTCCTGTTTGTCCGTCGCCCTGAGGCTCGGTGTCCACTGACTTAATCCATCACTTATTCTGACCGACCCTCCCGTCGACCCACCTTCCCGAGCTCTCCCTCCCTGCATCCCACCAGTCAGATCATCCCCTCCTCACCAGGCGTTCCTTGGCCTAGCCCCTTGGGGGAGCCCTTGTCTCCCTGTCTCTTCTTCCCCAGCTCTGAGTTTTCCCCCACAGACCCCTGTGAGACGCCTGTGTGTCGGCGTCTCCTGCGCCGATACCTGGCCTCTCGGGACACCAGTGCGGACCCCTGCACCGACTTCTTCAGCTTTGCCTGCGGAAAGGCCAAAGGGACCAGTAATTCTTTGCAGGCTCTTCGGAGAATGCTGGGTAAGGAAAGCAGGGCAAAGACTGTCTGTGCAAACAGGTGACTGAGCCTAGAGCCATCATGACTATCCCAAACCGTGTGGTTGAGGGACCTGGTCTGCATGTCCCGAGTGGGCTTTCGGAACACTGCCTACCTCTTTCCTCGTCCATCTCTTCCGGGTCCTCTCTGCATCTTTTCTGTACCTAGTTCATCCTCTTTCCTTTCCTGTTTACCCACGACCACGCCATTCGCTCCACATTCTCCCTTTTACCGAGCTGCATCTTCCTTGTTATCTCCCCTAAATTCTCAGTCTCTATGCTATGCCTGGTGTCTCCCCCCACCAGCATCTCCTCAGGACCTCTTGCACTTTAATTCTTCTCTCCATTACTCAGGCTCTAGCCTTCAAACGCTTCTTGTCTTCTAACGCCCGCTTGCCACTGTTACCCGCTCCCTCCCGTAAGCGCCCCTCTCTCACAATTACCTCCTGGGTGTTCTCCACTCCATCCTCGGACCATGGCGTGCAAGTTAAGCTGGCAGAAGCGGGATAACGGGGATGAATGACTGCAGATGATGGAGAGAGGAAAGAAGTGTCCATGCCCAAGGGAGCGGATAGAGAAGCTACCCTGGAAGAGCAAGAGAACCACGTTAAAAACCCCAGGGGCAAAGAAAATTCCTGTGGATGGCGGTGGAGAGAAAAAGAGCTGTGAGGAAGTCTATGAGGAAGGAACAGGCCATCTAGAGTTTGGAAGTGGGTCCCAGGAAGTTGGGGGATGGTAGGGTTTGGGACTAAATGTATAAGATAGGCATGCATTTCCAGTGTAAGGGAACCTAGAGAACATGCTGACAGTAACGGCTGGAAGTGGGGAGAAGTAAATGTATCCCTCTGCCCCGCTTCTTGTGATGCAGAAATTGTGGAAGTAGGCTCTCCCTCAGTGCGGCCGTGCTTCAGTGAAGGCGCAGAGATGAAAAGAAGCAATAGGCTTAGAATAGATTCTGCTGTCCACCATGGAATGAATAAATATCAGGGGGACTGAGGGAGAGGTGTCAGGTATTAGGGGGTGGATGATTTAAATGGGTATGTGTTTGGGTTATTGTCACATGTTTGTTTGTATCCTGTGATCAGGGAATGAAGGAAGTCTGGACTAGGGGAGCCCGCCCTGTGTCTTCTCTTGCTAAATCTTTCCTTATGAGATTTCCTCTCTCTGATGCCTCAACGTTCTCTGGTTTCCTGAATTTTCCTGATTCCTGCATTCCTCTCTCTCCTGCCTTCCATTTCTACCCTTTCTCCTTTATCCATATACCACTTACTCCTGTCTCTTCCTTTTCTTCCCTGTCTTTTCCTCCTTATTTTATTTCTCACCTTGCCTTTATTGTCTTCATTGTCTTCACCACACACAGTGCTCCACTCTTATTCTTCCATCACGTGGATCCAGTCCAAATGGGACAATTTTTCTCACCCCTCCATTTCTGCCCTCCCTTCCTTTTTCCCCAAGAGCTTTTCCTTCCTTTCCAGTAAGCTCCCTGCCTCACATCTTCTCTGCTTATCTCTATGCTGGCACCCCTTCTTTAACTCGCCCATGCTTCTTTTCTAGAGGCCTCAGGGTCCTGGCACCCGGGATCTGGGGAGGAGAAAGCTTTGCAATTCTATAACTCCTGCATGGACACGAGTGCCATTGAAGCCGCAGGGGCTGGTCCCCTCAGACAAGTTATTGAGGAGGTGAGACATGGGGCACAACTTTTCTGGATACGTATTGCATAGGATCAATGTATGCTCAAGGCTGCCATCCCCAAGTTCTAAGAGGGAGATGGAAATGGCAGTGCCTGTGGATATACTAGGACCTTGGGTGCAGCTGGAGAAAGAAGGACAGATGTGGAGCCTTAGAGGGCTCCAAGAACTCAAGAAGCAGCAGCTGTCTGAGGGATGGGGTCGGGGTGTCAGGGGTGACATCTCTTATGCTGAGCCTTGCTTCTTCTTCCCAGCTTGGAGGTTGGCGAATCTCCGGTAATTGGACTTCCTTAGAATTTAACAGAACTCTGAGACTTCTGATGAGTGAATATGGTCACTTCCCATTCTTCAGAGCTTACCTGGGACCTCATCCCACCTCTCCGCACAAGCCAGTCATCCAGGTGAGGGATGTCCTGGCAAAAATGTAGTGGGACCTAGGTCTGCCTCAAATTCTAGCCTTAGAGGGAGGTTGCAGGTTGGGGAGATAGGATACATGTGCAAGGTAGGGGAAAGACCTATCTGTAGGGCACATTATTGATGTGCGAGTCAGAGACACTAGGTGAGATTAGGTAAAGGAGCAGCAAGGCCAGCCCTGGAAAGGCAGAGGTCATTTTCGTCTTCCTTACTGCTTATGTGATTATGACAGAGCCTCTTAAGAGTCCCCTATCTGCAGTATTGCCCTCCTATTATTTACTCTTCTTTTCCCCCAGAGGGACCTTTCTAAATCAAGAGCTAATTATATACTATTATCTCTGCTTAAATGCCTTCAAGGACTCACTAGGTCATCAGGATCTAGTTCTTAATCTTTAGCAATATCCTGCAAGCCTTTACAGTCTGACCCCTACAGACTTCTCCAGTCTTATCTCCTGCCCTATCCCTTCTCCCCTTTAAACCCCAAGCCATGCTTGCTCACTTTTAGCTTCAAGAACATTCCTCAGTTCTCTGCATATATGTCTCCCTTTGCCTGCAACATGACTCCCCAACCCCCCATACTCAGCCCAGAAAACATAGTATTTTTCAGATTTTGGCTTTCACTATTCTTTCTTCCAGGAAGTCTCCACTGACATCCTGGCTAAGAGCCGGGGAACCACTCTGTCTGTAAGCCTCTTCAAAGCAGGGCCACACCTATTCACCTTTGTTCCTCAGGACCCAGCACAAGGCCAGGTATCTGGAGGCCCACTCCAGACGTGTGTTGAGCCAGTAAATAAGTAAAAACATTGGAGGCATCGGTATTGTGGTGGGCAATTAGTGATGCTATATATTTGGCCCCATTTTTAAAAAATCTCACGCATTTTTAAGAGGGTACATATACAAGAAGAACTGATAATCAGTACGCAGTATTCTGAACTTCCTCTCTAAAGGGGGTGCTCAGGAGTTTAACTGGTGTGGCCTTTGGGGATTGGTTAGGATCTGAAATGGTTAAGGGAAGGCTCAGGGAAGGGAGAATGTGAGCTGAGCCTTGCAACTATGGATTCACACAGATAAAGGTGAAGCTACAGGGCATTAAAAGGGCTGTGGGGCAAGTGTGGAGCTAAAGGAAAGCGTGGAACGGCATGACTCCTCTGTGGGGTGAGTGAGGAGGTGGGTCTGTTGAACAGAGACTATGGGGGTGCTAGTGGGCTGCAGTCAGAGGTAAAAGTAAGGCTGAAGACATGAGGTTGGGCCTGATTATTCCTGACCTGAGAAGCTAGACTCAGTGATATCTTTTGATATACTGGGGAAAAAATAAGCTACTGAGGTCTTTCAAATATGATGGTTGTTCATTGAGCTTAAGTAGAGTCAGCAGTTTGCGAGGTCCACCTGGAGGTGTTGAGGAATCCAGATGAGCAATTTTGGGGCTCTGAACAAAGATGATTGTGGTAAAATGGAAAGGAAAGGCCAGGCCTAAAGGTGTAGGTCACTTTGTCCTGTGGTCATGGTCCATGGTGATGCCATTGGACGTGGTAACTGATTGAATATACATAAAGGAAACAGGGAAATTTGGAAATGACCCCACAGTTTTTTGTTGTTTTTTTTTTAATTTTATTGGGGAACAGCCATGGTCATTGGTTACACATTGCTTTCATGCTACAATGGCATGGCTGACTCTTTTAGGGAGGACACAGCTCACAGTGGCTCATGTGGGGATCAAACCGGCAACCTTGGTGTTATCAGCACCACGTTCTAACCAATTGAGCTCACCGGTCACCCCATGACCCCACAGTTTTTATTTTATGTGAATGGGAGGAGAGTGGCTACCATCAACTTGAGACTGGATGGACTCTGAGGGGAAGAATAGGTAAAGAGAATGGACTGCAAAGGTCCAATGAGGGGTGTGGGGGCAGAGAAGAGCAAGAACAGACAGGGAAGGGAAGTCAGACCAGCACCGATGAGCCACAAAGGACAGGGGAGGAGCCAGTTTCCTGTCTGGAGGGAGGGGTCATCTTTGATCCTAAGATTTCCGAGCTCAGAGAATAAGGAATGAGAAGACACCATTGGAAACCTAGAGATCATATCAGAAACAATTATGGAAATGGCCACAGATTGTACAGAGTTTAGGAGGACGGTGAGGAAACTGGAGCGCAGGGGTATAGGTGACTTTTAGTTCTTTAAAGCTGGGACATAAAATTAGACAAAGGAGTCAAGTGAAAGTATTTCTTACAAGATAGGGGGAAAGTATATCGCTCAAAGTGGCAGTGGGAAATTGAAGTTGGAAAAGAAAAAGGAAGCGTGTGGGGCAAACAATCTTCAGAACAGAATCAAGGACACAGTCCCAGAGCGAAGGTGAGACAAGGAGGGTGATGAGCCACTTGCCTGGGCTTAAAATTGAAGAGGGCACCAAAAACTCAGTAATCAAGATAAGTCCTATTTTAATGAATATTTTTGAAAACCAAAGTCAATGCAAGTATCCATGATGAATAAAATATCAAGTTTTTATTCATTGTGGATTTTTTTGAAAAAAAGATTTTTTTCCCCCAAATGGATCAAAACTCTATTATAGACTTTATTGTTTGAAAACATCTACAATTTAAAAAAAAATGGATCAAACATACATTATGGATTTTTTGGGGAAAAAATTCTATGATGAACAAAGTTTTATAATTTTACTCAGCATGGATTTTAAAAAATATCCATTAAGGCATTGTTTATCTTGATTACTGAGTTTTCGGTACCTCTGAAGTTTTGCATCTGAGATGGGTGTCTTACTCCCTTCACCCTAGACATGGTCCTAGCACAGGAAATGGTTCCTTTCAGAACATGGATTATGACGCGTCTCGCACTGAGCACCCCCGAAACCTGGTTGAAATACCCACCTTCTCTTCACAATTCCATGTCTGGACTCTGTCCCCCCGGGCCCCTCGCCACTGATCCCTTCCTTGCTTTGTACCGTTGCGCCTTCTCTGTGCCCAGTGTAGTCCATCGCCCGAGGCCATCTTCCGCGGTCCAGTCCCCATCTCCCCACACCCGTCCTCTCCTAGGACCACACTACCCACTTCTCTCCAGTCTCTCTTGTGTGCAGATAGAGCAGCCAGAGTTTGACATTCCCAGGCCAGAGAAGGAAATGAAGACCTATGCCCAGGTAAGATGGTGTGGTGGACAAAAGTCCTGACCTCTGGTGCTAGGAAAAAGGCAGGGGACACTAGTGCCAGTGACTGAGGGTTTTCCACCCCTCAGATCCTGCGGGAATACCTGGCTTACCTGAATCGCCTGGGGAACTTGCTGGGAGGAGATCCAATCAAGGTGGAAGAGCATGCCTCCATGTCCCTCTCCATCACCTCGCAGCTGTCCCAGTTTCTGAGGCAGCAGCGGGCACAGGGAAAGCTCTTCCAGATGGTCACTATTGACCAACTGCAGGTGACCGGGGCCTGGACGAGGATGGGCATGGGGGGTCCCTCTCCCAAACTTGCTTGACTTCTTGGTCTTCTTTCTCCTCATTCCCTTAATTCCTTTCCCTCCCTAACATTTTTGGCTCCATCCTTTGCCCCAGCCATCCCCTCCTCACTCACTCTCAAACCCTGATGGAAGGGATGCCCTTCTCCTTCCCCTCTCCTCCTTTTCTGTCCCCTTTAGCCTTTGTGTCCCTCTTCTAAGGAAATGGCCCCTGCCATCGACTGGTTGTCCTGCTTGCAAGCAATGTTCACACCGATATCGCTGAGCCCCTCCCAGCTAGTCGTGGTCCATGACCTGGATTATTTGCAAAACATGTCGCAACTGGTGGAAACGCAGCTGTTGACGCACAGGTTTGCCCCACATGGGATCGGGGAATTACAGGGTCATAGAAAGAGTCTGAGGACCCACAGGTGTCAGGGACACAGGTGGCTTTGGAGAATGTAGGCTTCCCAGGAGGATGGGAGGGATTCATGGATACATGGGGAGGAGAAGGGATGGGGTGGCCCACCCAAGAGGAAATGCAGGACATGGGAAGTGTGAGAGGTATGGGGGGCAGGGGAAAGGAAGACACACATGAAATGAGGGGTGCAGGTGTTAGGCAACACACAGGGTTTTCTGGGAGCAGAATCCAGACTGTGAAGAGCCTCTGAGCTCTAGGAGATGCTGGACAGCCAGTCACTGGGGACAGCTGGGGCCCGTGTGACTTGTCAGCAGCTGAGGGCTGTGGACGGGAGGAGAAGGCACATGGGCTAGAGGAGGTAAAGGCCGGGGTGTTCTGGGGGGGGGACAGCTGAGGAGAAGGCCATTTCTCAGGTATGATGAGAGGATCCTGGACCCTTGTGGGAAAGAGCAGGACGTCATGGAAGATGGGGGGACATGAAAGTGAGGCTCTGTGTTGGGCTCTCTGCTGTCCCTGATACCTGTGTGGCCACCACCTGAAGGCAATGACTTCCTTCCGACTTCCTTCCAGGGGCTTGGCCCTTCTTCATAGTAACTCAGTGGCAGCAACATCTAGAGATGCTTTTTGACAGAAGCAAACCACCCTTCGTGTGGGCGTGAGCAGGTTTACGTCAGGGCACAAATCAACATGGTAAGAGAATGGCCAGCAGAGCAGAGAAAGGCCCTGGATCCCAGCTTTGTTGTGCTTAGAAGATACATCTTAAGATGAGCTGAGATTTCTTGGCTGTGGGAGTAGATGAATCAGTTTTGTGAAATCCAAGTCCAGCCTTCATCTAGTCCAGATCCTCCTCTCCCTGTGACTTGAGAAGCCTGTGTCTTCATCCAGTTCTTTCTTCTATCATTCTCCAACCCCACTTCAGTCTACACCAAGGAAAGCTCCTGTTCACTTGTTCACAGTCAGTTATTCTCTATAAATACAGCAAAGGGGCTTCTTTCAGGAGTCACGGTGACCTACACAAGGGGAGGCATTACATGAGGGGACCCCAGAGCTCTGGGGTATATATGTGGGTCTCTCTTCTCTCCACAGAGATTTTCTGCAGAGCCATATGATCTTTGGGCTGGTGGGGACCCTTTCTCCAGCCCTGGACAGTAAATTCCAGGAAGCACGCAGAGTGCTGAACCAGAAACTGCGGGAGCTGACAGAACGACCACCTATGGTGAGGAGAGGAGGGGGTGAAGGACCCACATCGGGGCTAAAGAGGCATGTGTCTTTTTGAGGGATAAATGTAGGCATATCTGTCTCAGGGAGGAGACATGAAGGTAGACACCTTTCAGTGTCTGGGCTTTCCATGGAAGCAGACAGGTTGGCACACACACTTTCCTTGAGATCTGAGGTACCAGGTACCAGACCTTTGAGGCATATGCCTGACTACGCCAGTGGCCTTGTGCCGAGTATTCCAGTTTAAGTATAAAACTTTAAATGATCAAGAACTGCTCTTCCTTAGCCATGACCCTTAAACTATAATATTTGCCTAGCTATTCTGAGCTCTGTGATTTGAGGACATGGACCTGAAACTTAGGATTCACTGGGATGAGAGGCAGGTATAATGAGCAGTGGCCTTCCCGTCTTGGTAATTCCAGTGTTTGATGCTCAAATGTGCTTCACAGAGAGTTCATCTCTGACATCCCATGGGGTGTCAGTTTTTTCCTTTCTTAATATGCATATACATTTTTTTGGCACCGTGTGTGTGTGTGTGTGTATGTGTATATACTATATTACATACCTTTTATGTCCATTAGGATATATAATTGTCCTTGGGCTTAAAAGCTGAATCTGGCTCTACCAACAAATGGTTGTGTGGCTTTGGGGAAGCCACTTCACCTCTCGGGAACAACAGTACCAAATATGGCCCATAATAATAATTATAGCTGATCTGCACTGAGGAGTTACTGTATGTCAAGCATTGCAAAGAACATCTTTGCATAAATGATTTTATTGAATCCTCCCAGAAACATGCTGAGGTCCTCGCAAGACCACACAGCTCATAAGTGAAGGAACAGATACCGAAACAGACTGTCTGGCTCAAGAGGCCATGTCTTTCACTACATACTCTGCAGGATTGAGAAATAAGTGGGTGGTACAGAAAACGGGTTGGTGAATTCTTTCTACAAAGGTCAAGGTAGTAAATTTTTTTGGCTTTGTGGTCCTCATGGTCTGTGTTGTAACTACTCAACTCTGTCCTTGTAACGCAAAATCATACATACACTAAACAAATGAAAGGGCATAGCTGCATTCCAAAAAAAGTCTGGTTTGGACAACAGATGCTCTCAGAGTTCCCAGGAGGGAGAGATCGGGGTGCATTTGACTGACCGGTGGCATCTCCGTGCAGGAGAGAGAATGGAAGCCATGTCTAGAGAGTTGAAGGAGTTTTCTGGTGAAGAAAGGGCCATTATTTTACTGGGACAAGGCCTGGAACAGGCTGGCTAAAACTTGGTGTAATATGAGGGGTCCTGCCGGTGGCGCGGGCTGAGAAGAGTGGACCAGGCTTGCAGGAAGCTGTGCCCGCTGCTGGAGGAGCATGCCCCAGGCATCTGAGCACCAACAAGGAGCCAGGGCAACTGGAACAGAAAGAGCAAATGGGAGAAGAGCCGGGAGGAGATCCGAGAGGACAGGAGCAGTGCACACAGGGCCCGGTCGGTCACGGTAGAGCTTTTGGCTTTTCTCTGCATGAAATGGGGGCCTGTAGGAGCTGTCCGTTTTATGCTTTACAGGAATGTGTCTTGAAGGTGAGCGACAGGATTTCCTGGCAGATGTGTGGTGTGAGAAGGGAGGGCGGAGGCAGACACTATCAAGGTCTTGCCTTGATTTGACCAAAATTTATGGTTCTATGAAGTGGTCATTAATTATACATTTCTAACCATATTCTTCTGAATGAATTCTACTTTATAGTGCCCTTATTCAGAAAGACCGCTCAGTGTCATTATACGACCCTATTTTGTTGACTAATTTTGAATATACAGTCAATAAAAATGGCTATTAAGCCAGGCTTTTCTCTTATCAAACTTGAGAAGCTGAGTTTTGGGATGTAAAAGCAGGACTTCACATCTGTGCCTGTTAAATGTGAACTATTTATATTCAGCGCAGTGTCCCAATTTATTCAGGTAACTCAACATTTGTTTCAATTATCCATTATATTACCTTTTCTTTTCTACTTTTGGTCATTTGGAGTTTTATTTAGTGTGTCTGCATCTAGACTACCATTAAGATTTTAAGAAGGAAGAGCATCCAGTCAGGTTATTGAAGACCTAGCTCTGGATTCATTCATTTGCCTATGCAACAAACATTTATTGAGCATCTACTACATACCAGATACTTCTCTAGGCACTATAGACCACAGTGAACAAAATAGACAAAATCTCTGCCCTCAGACACTTATATTCTAAGGGAAGGAGAAAGATAGGAAGTGCCATGGATATGTGTTATGGAGAAATAAAACAGGAAAGGGTCTGGAGAAGAGGGACTGGAGGGGGCGGGGTGCATGTTACAATTTTTAGTAGGATGATCAGGGAAGCTCAGACTAACTTGGACTCATTAATCTCTGATATTTTGTTGTGGTTCCGCCTGCTGCGAATCCTCTCAAAGTCTATCATCATCCAACATAGTTTTCTCCATCTAATTGGCAAAAAGTTAATTTGTGGTTTTTACCAAATGCCTTCTTGAAATCAGAATAATGCTAACAGAGTAGGGTAATATGCTAGAATTTACAGAGTCGTATTTTTAATGTATTATTTCACCTCATCTTCAAAGCAACTCTGTGAGGAAGTTGGAACAGGCATTAATTAAACTCATTAATAGCTGGATACCTGAAGGACTGAGGTTTAAGCTCATAATCAACACAGTCAATGCTGAATTCTCTGTGCAAACGTAGCACTGAGATGATCCTTGAGGATGAATCTGACCTATCAGTGAGTTTTGTTGGCCTTTAAAGCCTTTTATAAACTTGTAATTAATTGCCAACATTCTAAAATTAGGAGATGGCATGCCAATAATCAATCAGGTTTTGAGCCTTTTGTCATTGTAAACGTGAAGCTTGGGCATTGCTGGGTGAGCCTTCTCTGGGGCAAGAACTGACCGGAGCTCAGCGGTGCCACTTGGTTCGGCCCGGGTGTGCCCTCTGCAGTTTGTCATTGTACCTCTGTGTCTATGGTTCTGATGTTGGACTGCTTCCTTAGTTATGTCACGACGTGGTCCGCTTGAGTTTGTGACTCCTGGTCTGTGGTCTGCCCTAGAGCGCAGAACTGAGTAACCAGAGAAATTGCTGTTGTCTTGGCATTGTTTATCCTCAGTGATCCTACCTTGGTCCTTAGTCATTATGCATCATTTTCCAAGTGTTAAACAATAGTTCAATGATTCCCAGAGTTGCACAGGGGTGAACAACGGGTCGTCCGAGGTGGTGTCTATGTGCTCCAGGAACCAGGTCGGGGCCTGCTGTGGCCCAGACTACGGAGACAGGCAAGCAACAAGCAAAAGCTGTTGCAGAAAGGGGCAGGCACCAGCAAAAGGAATCAGGAAGCAGCTCAGGAACCAGGAGTCGTGGCAAGGCAGGCAGATCCCCACTGCCAAGCTCAAGGCAGATGCCATTTGCTGCTGCCCTGGTGTAGCCCCGAAGCCGAGCTTGTCATCGGGAGGCCTGTGGGAGGTGGACACTGAAGGTGGCCAGCAGAGCCTGCACTTGACCCGGTCGTTGCTATCAGACCCAGGTTTCCTTTCAACTTGTGTTGGCTTTTCACATTGTTTCAGAGCTCCAACTAATACCCCTTAGAAAGTGTCTGAGTCCCTTCTCCCCACAGGGTCCCTAACAGGCCTCCTGGTGAGGGGACAAGAACACACAATGTAGGTGACCAGGTCTGGAGCAACCTCCAAAATGATAAACGTCCTCACAGGCAGACCCAGGAGTTTCTTCGTCAACAGCAACACCGACCTTCCCTTTCTGGTTCTTCTTATGGGCAGCCCCATAAACTCGCGTCTACTCTTTAGGACCAGGGTGCGTAATGGCAGCCTAACTACCTTCCCTGAGAGGAGATCTCTCAGGGGAGTCAATCAGTTACAGGAATTGAGTCTGGTGACTTCACCCAAATTTGCATATTAGCTGGCTGTCCTGAGTCCCAGCTCAGCTTTGCCTTAGGCCGGCTCCCGTATTCCTTATCCCTGCCCCTTGAACAGGCTTCTCGATCTGCCTTTTGTCGTCTCTGGGCCTACTCCTTGGCCAGCTCTTCAAAGCCATCCAAGCCCACCACTGAAACCTCCCAGCATCTCTCTCTTTCTTATTCCTTCTGTCCTGCTGTGAGAAACACTGCAGTTGCCAAGGCCTCCTTGAGTTTTGTCTAAATGGCTCTCCACCTTTGAAGTTGCAAATGTCCACCATCCTATTTTTGTCTCATCCTGCTTTGGCTGAAAGTTTCTTAGCTCTCTGAACTCATACACTTGGTCTTTTCTTTTGCTCTCCTACCAGACAACATAGCATCTGAAACCCAATTTCACTCTGATAATTTTCTTCTTTGTAAGACAAGATCCTGCCATACAATCCATGATAACCATTTGGGGAATGGAGGAGGATGGTAAAAAGGAGGAAGGACTGACCTCCAGTTTGCATTTTAAGCAAAGAAACATGGGAGTGTGGGAGTCGGCTGGGCTCCCACAGAGGTACCTGTGTTGGGTGGGGACGGGGCAGCCACCAGACCTCCTAAGGTTTGGCATCTAGTCCTCTGCTTCCCAAGAGCCTTTCAGGCCTCCAGAAGGCTGCCTCCCAGGAGGCCTTGCTTTCAAATTCAATAGGCAGCAAACACGGACGATGTGTCCAACCCAGGCTCAGGAGACTAATCCTAGAGGACAGCTCAGCCCCTGTTGCTGAGAAGCCGTGAACCCCTGTGTGCCACCAAAAGGGATCACAGTAAAGTCAGACCAACAAGAGCAGTGTCCACGGTGGGAAAAGGTCTAGAGAAGATTGGCCTGAGAAAATAGGTGAGGAGGACTCTTGACCTTGATGAGAGACACTCATTCCAGCTTTGTCTCCATAGCCCACCCACCCTCGATGGATGACGTGCATGGAGCAGACGAGGGCCGTCTTCGAGTCTACCCTGGCAGCCATGTTTAGTCGTGAGGCCCTGAGCCCGAGCACCCAAAGTGCTGTATGTGAGAGCGCTTTCCCAGCCCGTGTCCCTCCACCCTCTCCACCCAACCCACCCTCTCCTAATTCTGTTGACTTTGCGCTTCTCGACTGTATGTGTGTTTAAGGAGTCAGCCAGTCACAGAGAGAGCCCGAAGGACATGCTATGTTGCCAGGTCTGCACAGTTCAGCTATGGGACACCCAGTGTACACAGCAAGCACCAGCTTAGACAAGTCACCCAGCTTTCCTGCTCTTGTGCTTCCTCAACCATAAAATGAGAAAATCGAACTCCATGACCTCTAAAGCTACTCCCTGTTTATGATTTTTTTTAACAACACACGAAACAACGTGAGAATGGAATGATATAATCACTCCATTGTGCAAATAAATAACTACTGAATACTTTCTGCCTGCCTACCATGTGCCCGGTGCTCGTGTAAGCACTTTGCACGAACTGCTTTAATTCCTAGTATCATCCTCGTTTTCTAGAAGAGAGAACTGAAGCACAGAGAGGCGAAGCTACCAAATAGCAGAGTCAGAATTTGAACTTAAGGTTCCTGAGAGTGTCATCCATTTTCCTCCACCAAAAAAAAAGATATAGACAAGATGGTAGATGGCTGGGAAAGCAATAACTATACGGTCAAGTAGTGAAGCTGGAGAGACTTCAGCTTGTTAGGAAGCTAAAAATCCCAGGAAGATGGAGAGAGGAAATGCATGCCTTAAGAGAGAGGGTGTGAGGGCAGGAGCCCCCGAGAGCCTCTTCCCCCCTCGGTTGTCGGAGTGGATTGCCTGGCCAAGAGTAGGGACTCTTGCCGAGGGTGTCCCTCCCTCGGCCTGCTGGGATCTCCCCATAGGCTGTCTCGTCTGTCGACCCATGGGGTGACCAGCTCCCACCTTCGCTTTCTGTGCTCGGCACCTCCGTTCTGTCTCCACAGATCTAGATCTTTGTACCCTTGGCTTTTGGTCACCTAGGAAATACCATTTTCCTTTCTCTCTTTCTGAGGCCTCACCCCTTCTCTGGCAGAATCTCAGGGCCAAGACCCCTTCCTAGACTCCTGGTGGGCAGGACCCAAGACTGAGGCTGTGACTCACTGTTTGTCTGTCCCCACACCCTCATGCCCGCAGGCCATGGAATTATTCACCGCCATCCGGGATGCCCTTCTCACTCACCTCAGAAGCCTTCCTTGGATGGATGAGGAGAGCCGGAGAAAGGCCCAGGACAGAGTGAGGCTAGGAGGAGGAGACAGGGTGGGGACGTGCAGGGGGTGGAATTGAGTATTGGATCAAGAGACCCCAGTGGCTGGAGGAGAGTGAAAAGGCAGCAGGTATAAACACCAACATATGGCACACACACTGGTGACAGTATAAAAGGTGGGGGACAAGGGCAGTGAGCAGGAGAAATCCGTCCGATAGACTTGGGGTAGCTAAGTTCTTTCTACTTTGTGTCTCTCCCCAGGTCACCCATCTGCAAGCGAAGATGGGGGCCCCCGAATGGGCCCCGGAGCCAGCGCTGGCCAGACAGGAATACAACGATGTGGGTCCCCTTCCCTGTCAGCTCCTCTTTCGTCCTCAGCTTCCTCACCCCCTAACCTACCTGAGTGGCAAACAGTCCATTTTCCCTGGATGATCGTAACCAACCCCTTTCTTTCCTGGTGCTGGCTGGGTTTTATGGGTGAATTTCTTTACTGTGGGTCTTGCCAACAGGAGAACAGAACCTTTTCAGGTCACGGTGTGTGTGTGTGTGTGTGTGTGTGTGTGTGTGTGTGTATGCACGTGCACACACATGCATTTTTGTGACTTGCTCAAGTGTGTTTATCTGAGTGCTGACACACGTGAAGCCTTCTAGCTCCCATGTGGGGTGGTGGTGTCGTGCTCCTTTCCACTGTACTGGAGATGTCTGTGTCAGTTCTTACCTGTGCAGGTTCAGATGTACCCATCAGGGTACGTCAGCGTGCACGTACATGTGTCACCTCTTGCATCCTCCCAGATACACCTCGGACCCAGCTACCTGCAGTCCTTCCTGAGCAGTGTCCGATCCCGCCAAGCTAGAATGGTCCAGAGCTCCTTGCAGCCTGTCCCTCACCACAGGTACGAGAGCATCCTAGAGATGGCCATCCAAGATGAGCGGGAAAGCAGGCCAAGGGCTCAGAGAAACAGGAACGGTGGCAGGTGGGAGGGACTGCCTTTGTCTGGGGGGGGCAACAAATGATGGAGCTCGTGTTCATATGTGACTTTTCCACAGGTGGCAGATGTCCCCCTGGGAGGTCAGTGCCAACTATTCAATATCTGACCATGTGGTGGTCTTTTCAGCTGGACTCCTCCAACCCCCGTTCTTCCACCCTGGCTACCCCAGGTATGGGCATCCTAGGAGAGTGGGCAGGAATTTTCCCAAGAGTGATGGACAGATGCTGTGATGGATGGGACTTGTAGTTGGACAATTGGGGTTAAACATGTTGAAGGATCCTGGGGGTAAGACAAGCCCTTGTCCCCCCAGGGCCGTGAACTTTGGCGCTGCTGGCAGCATCATGGCCCATAAGCTGTTGCGCATCTTCGACCAGCTCTGTGGGTAACAGTGGGCCATTGGGAGGTGGGGCTGTCGGGACCCAGGTGAAGGCCCAAATGGAGGCCTAGAGAAGGAGAAAGGGAGGTTACGTGAGGGCTCCACGTCAGAGCGTCCTCACACTTTGGCAGTGCTCCCGGGAGCCAGCCCAGTGTGTGGTACCCCATGTCCTCCCTGCTGCGCCATGCCTCCCCATTTCATTCCCTTGCCCCATTTTCAACAGTACTCCCCGGGGGCTGCCTGGCCTGTGACTCCCGTGCCCTACATGGGGCACAGCTGTGCCTGGAGCGCCACTACGCTGCCTTCCCGTTACCTAACGGAACCGCCTTCAATAGCTCCCACAGCCTCCAGGAGAGTGCCGCCGACGTCGGGGGGTTGGCCATCGCGCTGCAGGTAACTCAGGTCCCAAAGGCCAGGGTCTATTCTGACCAGTTCTTCCTCTACCACCCTTCATGCTCACATAGTTGCAAAGCTTTCTACCCTTCACCTCCCCACTGCACAGACGTACCCCACAGATGCCTCTTTTCTAGGATATCCACAGATCTTCTGACAGGTGCATTGTTTCCTGGCTCAGACCAGTGTTTTAGTGCAGAACTCGGGAAAGGGGCCATGGACTGGTTTTGAGTTCTGTGTGTAGGGCATCAGGCTTCCGATGGCCACAGGTCTGGAGCCTAAGGGGTCTTCTCTATCACCCCCCCCATATCCAGGCATACAGCAAGGGGCTCTTATGGCACCGTGGGGAGACCATCCTGCCCAACCTGGGCCTCAGCCCCCACCAACTCTTCTTCTTAAGCTATGCCCAGGTAGGCAGCTGCCTTCTCCCAGCACGCCTGCTCCATGTCAGGTAAACATCCTATCGCTAACGCTTAAAGCATCTCTCCTCCCTGAAACGCCTTCCCCGAAATGCCCCCAACCATCTGCCGCAGATGTCCTCACTCTTGTCCTTTCACACATGCTCCCTTGGGACCATCCTTCAGACTGCTACAAATTCTTCTACCAAATTCAGCACCCTCTTCAAGAAAAAAAGAAAAGAAAAATCTCTACTTCTAAATCCCTCCCTGAGAGGAGTTCAACTTTTTTTTCCCCCTCTTCTTTCTTACCTTAGCAATACAAACCCCTTAAAAATGAGCCTTAATGGTCTGTCTATAGACTACATTTCTGTTCGAAGACCTCACCTCCAGGTGTGGTCCCACCTGACATGACCCTCTAGGTACCATGTGCTCCCTCAGCAGACACTGCCCCCAATTCCGCAGTCTGCTGAAAGACCCCCCCCCTCACAGAGTTCTCCCAATAGACGCCACCTCTCCGTCCCTTGTCAATGGTCTGATGACACAACGCAGGCCGTCCCCCAGATGCCGGCTGCCAGACTTAAGGACCTACCAATGGCAATACGCTTCCCCTCTCCACGTGGCCTTGGCGCATTCCTATCGCTGCTCTTGTCCTCGTCTGCTGTCTCTAGTCACCACCTAGTCACCAGGTCTGCCTGCTGACCCTTCACCACCCTGCCCTTCTTCCCAACCCATGTGGGGACCTCTCTTTCTCCCCAGGTGATGTGTGGGGAGCCCAGCACACAGGAGTCTCAGGACACTCACAGCCCTCCCGTCCTTCGAGTCCACGGGCCCCTCAGCAACACCCCAGCCTTTGCCAGATATTTCTCTTGTCCAAGTGGCACCCTCATGAACCCCTCCCACCGCTGCCAGCTCTGGTAATCTGGCCACCCAAGAGACCTCAATGCAGATGTGGCACCATCCTCCCTGCCCCATCCATGGAATCCGGGCCATGACACCTCTCCCCTTTTCTGAAAAATAAAACCTGGCACTTGGCTTCTGCCTGTCTCTTAGTGACTCTTTCCTGCTTATGTTCTCTGCCGAAAAGTCAGCGAAGATAAGAGAAAATTCCACACAGAGTTCCATAGACATGAGAAAAGGAAAGAACTATTTGGAGGCCACAAAGTGCTCTTTGAACTGCTCTGGATCCTGGTCTGGAACGGGGGATAGGGGAAGGCCTGAGACATCGCTCTTCACCTGCCGGCCTCCAGCCCCTGGCTGGCATTAGAAAGGGCCGGGGGGCGTCTAAAGGTCAGTGGGCCGGAGGTTGAGCCATTAAACAGAGCAGTTAGAGATAGGGGCTTTGGTTAGGTCTCAGAGAGCTGCCCCCCGTTGTTTTCAGGATTTTATTGATATTACTTCTATTGTAGCGGCCTCCTCCTCTAACCTGCTGTCCCGAACAAAGCCTGGAGAGGTGTGGAGAGACGGGCTTGGGCCTGTTGTTTCTGGCCCCGGGAGACAGAGCTCAGAATGTGGGGAGGCAGTCGGCAGTGGCGATGTCAATGAAAAGGGCAGCTCCGGGATCCCTCTGGCGCCGGCATCTCCCTTAGGAGCTGTGACACGGAGCCCAGGGACAGAGTGTCAGGAGGCTATCATGAAACGGAGGTAGACATCCAGGTCCCCCTCCAGGAACCAGGCCACCACATCAGCCTCAACGTTCCTCATAAGAAAAGCATGATGCTGGCCAGATTCAAGCAGAAGGCGAATTCCAAGAGGCGGCTCCGAATAGCTGGGTTCTCCGGTGTCTTGTCCTCTTGCTGGGCCATGTCCACCAGCTGCCACATCTCACCCACTGAGGAGGCCACGAAGTGCTCTTCGAACTGCTCTTGAGCCTGGTCTGGAACGGGGAGAGAGGCGGCCTGAAACACTGCTCCCCACCCGCCCGCCTCCGGTCCTGGCCGGCGTCAGAAAGGGGAAGGCGTTGGAGGATGTGGGGGAGGGTTAGGGCCTGGAGCTCCAGCCCAAGCGCCTGGATCCTTGTCCTTGACCGCAGAGGTGATGCGCCATTTGGAGGCCTCTTCCGGTCTGTGTGCAACCACAGCTCCAGCTCAAGAGCACGCACACCCCGGCTCCAACTCAGGCCACGTCCTCCAAAGTGTACACCTTTGGAGCGTGAGGGGCAACCTTAGAGAAGGATGAAAACCAAAGACTCATCCCAGACAAACGCACGTGTGCTCATAGGCATGAAAGCCAAATACAGTTTCCGCTGGCTCGCAGTATACCGCAAACAGGGCCCTGCTCAAGACCCTTTCACATGACACCCTCACACTCCAATAGGAGGGGGCTGGGGGATTCGCCCATAATCCGAACCTAGCTCAGGTTTCACTCTGGCCCCCTAAGGCATCTGGGACTGACTCCAATCAGACCTGGTCCCGACCTGCAGACGTTACTCTCCTTCTTGACCTACCTGTAGAGGGTGTTTTCTCTTTTGGACTGCTCTCATCAGGGCCTGGGTTCCCTTCCTGAGGCCTCGCCCCCTTCACCTGCAGCAGCGATAGGATGAGTGCCAGGAAGGCTGCCCTGCAGAGCTGGGAGCCCAGGGATGTCACGGGCCTGCCCATCTGCTGTCCATATGGCCTTCGCCACTCCCTCGTGCCCTGCGGGCGCCCCGCCACCTCCCTCCCCGCTCACGTGCCGGCTCCCTTCCCAGCACCATTTTCTTCCCCTTCCCTTCCACAGGACCTCTGATGTCACGAGCTCTGTGACATCACAACCATGGGCCTGACTGTCATTCTAGTTCACTAGAGAGTTTCATTGCTGGGCAAGAGAGTGGAGAGTAGCCAACAGAGGACAATAGAGCCTTCTAGGATGACCATACTGGGTCATCCTATGGAGAGCAACACACATGACTTAAAAGAGTTTGTGAAAACCTTTCACACCCATTGCATCCTTAGATCTACATAGCAACCAGGTCTCAAAGTAACAGTGTTATGGTACCCATTATATAGATGAGGAAACTGAGGTTCCCAGAAGAACTGACTCACCCACTCGAGATCACACAGGGTACTAAGGGGCAAGGCATGACTGTTGATTAGCTCTTTTGATTCTAAATGTCACTTCTTCCCACTCTTCCATGCAGACTTTCTTGAAGGAAAGTGGCTTGCACAGGATGAGGCCCAGACCAGATGTAGACATGAGAATCGTCAAGTCCTGGGCTGTGCATGAAGTTCAGGTCCATTGGAGATGTGGGAAGGGGAGGGGCATGGGTGGAGGGTGGGAAAAGGGTTCATGCTGTATGTATGTGACAGACACAGAGGGTGACAGGACAGAGAAACAGAGTGGGGTGCCCTGGGCCCAAGTCGAATCCATGCTGTCCTTCCTCATCTTCCCATAGACTCTCCTTGGGCCTCACCTTTGCCCTCTTACACTGATAGACTGGAACAGCCTCTTATCTCATGTTATTTACACCCTCTTGTACTCTTAGACATGGAGACAACACCATTGGAGGCTCATTCACTAAACTACTTGCTTGGTGGAAGGAGTCTTCAGAGAAGAACCAGTGTGGCTGAGAGGCGAGGAGCCCAAATAACGGATCTCAAGATACCTGCCTCTGTGGCCCTATGCCCACCCTGCCCATGAACTTGGTGAGCACATACCTCTTGTCAGTCACTGGCCGTGGCTAATGGTCATATGCTCCTTGGAGCAGAGATGGTGGTTAAGGGTGAGGTGGGGTGGGTTGGGGAGACACGATGAAGACCTGCCTGGAAAACCAGAAACAAATGCAGGCTGTGAGACACAGGAGGGGTGCTAGGATGTGTGGGAGGAGATTTTAGACCCACTCGAACTGTCACAACCAGCTCACACCACCTGTGGCATCCATGCCTTCCACCCCTGAATGAACCGTCCAGTGCAGGGGCAAAGGACACAGGCAGAAGCATGCACCTGTTCTGAAAGAGGGGGTTGTAGAAATGGGGGTGCATGTGGAGATTCCTTCCCACAGATATGCTCTCCTGCAGGCTCGCTCACAGACAGCAGCTGCTACCTCATCTACTTCCTGGTAACCCAAGCCAGGTGGGAATGATAGCAGAGGTCACTTGTCTGTGAGGGAGGAAAGATTCTAGTAAGCAGGTGACCCTGCTCACCCCTACCTTGAACTCACTGACCTGCAGGTCCCAGGAATGATGCTTGGGTGGAAAAACATCGCTAATCTCCTCCTGGTTATGTGCGGGGAGGAGTTTCTTGGTTCCTGGCCAAAAGAGAAACTATCTCCAGCTCTGTGAGTATAAGTGGGGAGGGCGACTGGGGGTGGGGGTGTTTTTGGGGGCCAGGCTGGAGTGGAAGGAACCGGGCTGTACTGACCACTGCTACTTCCATTTCCTTACCACCAGCCCGCCCTACTCCCCGTTTGGAAAAAGATATATCCTGGCAGGAAACCAGGAATCCCTTAAAATGTTTTTTTCTCTTGTTACAAAAGGATTTTAAGAAGCATGAGAAACAAAAAGGGCTAATAACGACACCATCCAGTGATCGTCAATATTGATATTTTCAAGTATAGCGTTCAAACCCTTTCCCTGTATGGCCGTGTGGGGTGGGGGTGTATTTCCTATCAATTGACATCCGGGTATCATGTGTGCTCCTCTCCTCCTCATCACATCAGAATAAGAAGAGGTCTGGCTGCTTTGGTACCAGGGCGCTCTGGGACCCTGACAGTGCTCCTACTGACGACTCCTCCTGGTCACCTGGGGGGCATTGCTGGGTCACACTGGACTTTGAGGAATCACCCTAGGGCAGGAAAGCTGCTGCCTGAGGGAGAGAGGCTGCAGATGTCCTTACCTGCACGAAGCTGAGGGAGCACCGGGAAGAGAGAGAGAGGACAGAAGGACAGATGGGGTGGCGATGCGGAACAGGACAGAGGTGAAGGAGTGCAGGGGAAGAAAGCCAGAGGAGAGTGAGGGGTCCTTAAAGATGAGGAAGCGGCTCCTAAATTGCCAGTCTACCCCTGGGACAGGTGGGACAGCCTGGTCCCCCTCAGGCTGCTGTACCTGCCCCTCCCACTAGAGAGGACCATGTGGGCAGAGAAGGGCAAGTAAGGCGGTGAAGACCCTGCACCCCCTTTTCCTCCGCCGGGACCCAGGGATGCTGCCCTTGGTGCGAGCCCCTGCACACCTGCTTTGTGCGGCTCTGACCGGGCCAGCCCCTCCCCCCGACCCCTCCAGGTTTAGCTTTATGGGCTGGGTGCTCCTTCTCTGTGCCTGCCCCTGCTTATCAGCTCATCTACAACCCCCACCTCAACCTTATCGCTCTCTCCATCTCCTTAGCCTGGAAGTCCCAAGGCTTGAGAGGCTATTACCACCTCACATTGCCCCAACCCCCAGCACAGCCAAAAAATGTCCCCCAAGGTGACCCCTTTCCCCGCCACCGCCTGCATCTCCCCTTCCCTGGGGGAGCCCACGCTTCCTCCTGGTCTCGGGTGGGCACCTCCTTTTCCTTGCCTTATTTATTTCCTTTCAGCTCTTGTCCGTTTGTAAAGGTTATTTTGTCCATCCTTCAAGAGCTAGAGAAAGAGCTCTCATTCTTATAGCAACAGAAGGGGGCCTTCCCCTGCTCCTGGGGACCCCCAAGAGGGGGACCCCCAGCCCATCTCCACCCAAGTCTCTCGCATCTTTATAGGCAGACAGTTCCCAAGAAGCAACACGGTCTGGCGTGTAGTTTGGAGCTAAGGTTTCAACTCTAAAGCCTGTTTGTTTTGTCTGTTTGTTAAAATTTTATTGGGGAACAATGTGTTTTTTCCAGGACCCATCAGCTCCAAGTCAAGTTGTTCTCCTTCAACCTTAGTTGTGGAGGATGTAGCTCAGCTCCAAGTCCAGCCACCATTTTCAATCTAGTTGTGTGTGTGTGTGTGTGTGTGTGTGTGTGTGTGTGTGTGTGTGTGTGTGTGTGGAGGGCAGCCCACTATCCCATGTGGGAGTCAAACCAGCAACCTTGTTTTTAAGAGCACGCGCTCTAACCAACTGAGCCACTCGGCCTACCCGAAGCCAGTTCTAGTTTGTCCACTAGCCGTGGAATCAATCACACTTTCTGTCTGGGCTCAGTCTTCTTATTCAGAAAACAAAGAGACCCCCTACCCTATCCCCACCTACCTCTTAGGGCCATTGAATGACAACTGTGCAGTCATGTGTGTGGACCTCTTTGAAAACAACCAGGGGGAGAAACAGGAGCTCTCATATCATAAAACAATGAAATGTGGTCTTGGCTTTACTCATCCCTCCTGCTGTCTTATTCCTGGACAGAGACCCAAATGTGGGACCAAGATTGCTTCCTCCCCCACCTCCCCTCACTTCCTGCTGTTCAACCTCTGCGGAAACGCAGGCCCCTCTGGGGGCCTCCTCTGACCAGGGGCTCCAAGAAGCTGGAAGGGAAGAGGAGTCACTGGTGGTCTTCTCATTCAGGAGGGGTGGCCTGAACCCCTTCTGTGAGACAGGGCTGCGGGGTTGAGGAGAGATGACAACAACTTAGAGAAGCAGCCCCAGGGGCTTTGGAGCCCATCTAGGAAGGAGAATCCACAGTTCTTGAACTCCTAGGACCATGCTTGACAGATGCTTCCAGGAGAGCATAGAGGCACTACACCCTTTTTATAGATTAGCAGACGGAGGCACAGGGAGCTCACCTAACTGATTTGTAAGGGCCGAGAGCCAGGATTCAAACCAGGCTCTGCCTGACTGCCCGGCTGCCGGACTTTACTGCCTGATCCCCTGCATCCAACTGACTGCTCGCCTTGCTTGTTGGGACCCACCTTTCAGGTCTCTGTCCTTGCTCCCAGGAGATTGCTCTGCCTCAGGGGTCACCTGTCTAGGCCTCAGCTCCCACCCCCTGCCTGAGCAAAGTTCCCTCCCCTCTCCCCTCCTAGCTCTAGGGTAGGCTGTGCCCCAGAGGTTCGCTCCAGAAAGAGCTCCTCCCCTCCAGGTAAAGCTGCACTCCCCTGGCAGGGCCGCCAGTCTCCTCAGCTGGAGGAGACACACACACACCCCCACCATAGCTGGCCACACGGGAGATACACTCACTGTCACTCCCCACCCCAAACAATCCCTCCTCTTCCTCAGCAGCTGCTGCATCCTAGACCTGCCGCTTTCCCTGCGTCCCCATAACCTGGCAGCTCCTGAAAGAAGACATGGGAGCGCCTCCACCCAAGGCGAAAGGGTCCTTGGCCCAGCTCCAGAAATTTCTGACCTCCTGGCTGCCCAGAGAGAAAGACTGGGACCGCCGTCTGGACGAGGCCCATATGCTGCAACAGAAGAGGTAGGCTGCCCCCATGTGCCGCGTCCCACCTCTCGCTGGCCCACATACCCAC